TTCTCTCCATCCTGGCAATAGGGTATCTGATCCCTTCCATAATCTTGTGGGGATGTTCAGGTGTCAAATAGAAAAATTTTGGGTTGAAGTAATAACCTAAAAAATATATAGATAGAGAAATTTCATTTAAAATTTCATAAAAAAATAATTTAGAATGAAACATTCTAATGATATAAATATATATTTACCTGCATAATGAATTGGACGTCCAAATTTGGTGTTCCACCTTATTTCTATAATCTCGATCACTTTACTAGCAAAACTACACTTCTCCTCAATAGCTGATTTGACCCTCTCGATACCTTCATAAAGGATGCCCATGGTAGCTTTCTTGTCAGCATCCCCCATTCTTAACATCGTGACCAAAGGGGCAGTGGCCTTTATGATACTGGAACATCGAGACCAGAACATCCTATTTGAGACTATGCCGTCCACTTTGAGCCCGGTATTGGACTTCGAGAGGCGGTCATTTAACCACTCTTCACTGGTAAACAATCTTTTTATTGCACCTTTAGATTCCCGAATGGAGTCCACAGCCAAGTAATCTGTCGCACCGTTGGTTATGGCATGCCTGATTATCTCTTTTTTCTTAGACTATTCTCTGAAAAAAATAAATTGTTGAAATGGCTATATATAAATTTTAACACCAATCTCGCTTCCTGTAGAGTCTCCTTCACAATTTTAATCTCACCGATCTCCTCTAACATAAGATCGATGTTGTGTGCAGCGCACGTGGTCCATACTATATGCTTCCTCTTATCCATCAACTTGCTGCCCGCAGAAACACATGCATGTGCATTGTCCGTAATAAACTGGACTACATGCTTATCTCCCACCTCCTCCATTATTTGATCATATAGTCGTATGTAGAATTTTGCATCTTTCTTCGTCCTTGATACGTCTTTGCTAGACAAAAAAGCTGTAGCTTTTGGGGAATAGGCCAAGAAGTTTTAAAACTCCTTTTTACTAACTTTATTCAACCAACCATCACTCATGAGAGTAATGCCTGTTCTTGGCCAACTTTATTTATATTCTTCAATCCATTTTTTAACTTTCTCCACCTCTTCATCCAATATTGGCCCACTGAGCTTATATGCCGTCGGGGGTTTTACCCCGGGCCCGGCTCTCTGGATTGCGTTGACAATAGGTGGAAAATATGGGCTATTGGCTTCATCAAAGGGGATCCATTTATCATAAAACCATTTACCATTATATCTGCCCAACATGTTTCTCGTACCTTTCACCATGCCTTTGAGGGTCATCTGTTCTGACTTAGGCTGTGACAGAAATGGGTCTATACGACCATGACTTGTAATACTGACACTCCTAGATAAGCTAGAAACAATTTCTTCAACATCTGATTTCTCTTGATACATATTGCCGCCAATTCTTCCATACATATTTGAGCTGGGCCTGCCATACATGTTCGAGCTGGACCCGCTATGCATGTATGAGCTAGGCCCTCCATGCATGCCCATATCATAACCATCAGGCATTCTAAACTCGCGTTCCCTCTGGTCTGTTTGCTGTAAACTCATTCTTGTGGCCATCTCCAAGTCATTATTATATTGCTCTATTGGATCATTCTCGCTTGATGGCGTATATAAACTAGCTATCTCCTCATCTATCCTCTACTTTGTAATTTTTTTACCTTTGATAGCCTTGAGAAAGCCGTCATCTGCTTTCTTACATTATTAGGGATACTATTGCACACAGAAACATCTCCCTTAACTCCTGCCAAGTGTTGCTTAAACCTATGTACTCCACTACTTATCACTCTTTGGCAGTAATTACAAATAATTTTGTCTTTTTTGTTGGGGATCAAGTCTGACCCCATGTTGCCATACATGGTCTTCCGCAGATCTTGTCATGGTTCAACTGTTTTAATATGTAAATGGTTAAAAATTAACTTGACAGTTCAACATGAAAAATAATCACCATGTGTAGTGATAATATGTAGGGGTAGTTCATGAAGTTATATTTGTTGTTAATGCACTATTGACAAAAATATTTTAGTTCCTACTGGGAAAAATAATTTATTTATGCAACATTATAAATTAAACTAGCCTATATCAACCACTACATATAGAACAAAAAAATTACATTGATATAATATCAATAAAAAATATATTTACAATGGTATAATAATTCACAATGCCAATACATACGGACTTGTCACAAATCTTCATTTCGACAAACATGAATTAGTTCCTATTGAGAAAAAATATATATTTATGCAATATTATAGATAAAAAAAAAGTCTGTATAAGTCACACTTAGAATTAAAAAAAAATTACAATAATATAATCATCCATAATGCCACTACACGTATATTTGACACAAAAAACATTTACAATGATATAGTCATTCACAATGCCACAAATAAAATTTACAATGATATAGGGGCACAATCCCAACTCAATTGAAATGATCGTAAATAGTTGTACATCTCAATTACAAATATACAAGATAATATAATAAAAAATGCAAGCTCCAAATATGGCTACAACTCAATTATCAAGAACATACATCTTTTGCATTAAAAAATTATTAATAAAATTTGGAAAATGCAAGATAATATAATTATCATACATGCCACGATTTTTTTACAATGATACTCACTTTAATTCCTCATGATAATACAGTTTAACAACATGTATTTTTTGCATTAAAAATTTAAAATACACTTTTAATGCAAAACTGCATTAAAAATATAATACAGTTTAACAACATGTATTTGTTAATGTATTTTTTTGTATTAACAACAAATTAAAAAATACAGTTTTGCATTAAAAATATAATAACATGTATTCTTTTCCATAAATAATCTATCAACATGCAATTTTTTGAACTAAAAATTTAACAATAAAATTTAAAAATATTATTTAATTCCTCCTGATAATCAAAACCTGGTCATGATTTTCACAATTTTTCGAAAAATCACGATTTTTCAAAAACATTGATCATGAATTAAAAAAAAAAAAGGCAGCTCTTCACACACCCACCTAGCATCAGTCATTCCAAATAAAAAATCTGCCTCAAATCGAATAAATACATCAAATTGAATACCTGTTTTGATAAACAACACTACAAGGAATCAAAGCCCTATAATATTAACACATTATTATTAAAAAATTAAATAAAATCTATTGAATTGAGAAAAAAAAAAAAAACGTAGTTCTTTACAGACATCAGTAATTCAATCTCAAAAATCAAGCTCAAATTGAATAAAGTAGATCAAATTGATTACATGTGATTATAAACAAGACTATAAGGATTCAAAACCCTATAAATTTAACACATTCTTTGCAAAATATTGAGTAAAATTGATAGAATGGCGGAAAAAAAAAAAAAAACAGCAGTCCATTTTTTCTTCACAGACATTAGTCTTTTTTCTCAAAAATCAAGCTCGAATTGAATAAATAAAATCAAATTGAATACATGTGATGATAAACAACACGATAACGAATCAAAACCCTATAAATTTAACACATTATTTGTAAAATATTGTGTGAATTTGATAGAATGGCGGGAAAAAAAAAAAAACACAGTTCTTACTTGTTTTTCGTGCACTCGTGCCTTCAAATTAAAAATTGATATGTATTCCTCCAAAATAATTACAAATTATGAACAAAAACTTCTGAACAATACTCTTACGATCAATCACCTTGAAATTTTACAAAAAATGATGCCCTCTTTCGCTTGAAATAAGTGAAATGGCGGAAACCCTAAAACTCACTCTTCGATCCAAATTGTTTTGATCAAAATCGGTGATTTTACTGCATTTTATTGACTGAAATGGCTGAAAAATTTGAATTAAAGCCTGCAAGATTAGATTATAAGGCTGAAAAAGATGAAAAATTATAAGAAAATGACAAAAAAAGATGAAATCCATGAAGAACACTGTGTAGCCCGTATTTTTGAGCAAGTCAATGGTGAGACTCGACGATTCACTATTGGGAATCGCCCGGTTCTATCTAGACACGGGCGATTCCCGATATTGAAGTGGAACCAGCACGGGGTATGCGGATTCTCGAGTCGAACCGGGTGAGTCCAGTTTGACTCGCCGAGTTTTCAAACCCTGGTATAGATAGATATAGATTGTGCCATCTCTACTTATTTGATTTTTTACTATATTTTTTTAAACCAAATCTAAAATATTCAAAATTATATAATTTACCTTATTGGTGATTTGTATTTTCTACATCAATTTTTTTTTCCAACTTTTCGAAATAAAATAGATTTATTACTGATGTTTTGGTCTGCTTGTATTTTATTATTCCCCAGCTTGTTGACTATGGTTTGTATTTGTACCAAAGATAACGAGTGTTATTAAATATTAATTTTGTCTTATTACTATGGGAAATAGGAAATAAATCCTACAATTTGGACTAAACTCCTCTAATATCTAGGATACCTAACTTCTCTCATCTCTGATGATAGGGTCACTTTTTATTATTTTGTCATATGTCCACTCCTTTAACTCCCTTTAACTCTGGTTTAATAATGTAGTAAATATTGATATAGGTATAAAAAATTGTGAGCCATTCTGAATGGAGGGTTAAGATTGCCCCAATCACAATGTCACGTCTCTACATTATTTTATTTTTAATTTTTTTTCTATAAATTATTTTGACACTAAATTTTGGACGTCCAATCTTCTATTAAACTCGCATTAGCAAAAAATATTAAAAAATATTTTTAATAAAATAAAATGATCAAAATACTTTTGAAAGATTCAAAAGGTATTTTGGTTATTATATTTTATCAAAAAATTATTTTTAATATTTTTTATAGGTGCGCTCCAATGAGAAGGTGGCACATGCAAAATTTCATATTCATACAACAATTCATATAAAAAAACTAAAATAAAATCCTTTGAGATGGGGGATCTAAGATCAAACAAGTGGCTCTCTTGATCAACATTAGACGGCAGGACGGTAGGTGATCTTCTATCCTCTAGCGGAAGTATAGAAACCGTTCCCATTTTATTATTTCCCCAACTTGATGGCTATTGTTTTGTACCAAAGATACCGCGAGTTGGTAAATATTAATTTTCAGCGGTAGTTATCAATATCACAATTAATTTAGGGGTGCATTGTGCTCTGTGGGGCATGAGATAGGGAGGGATAATTGTTACTTCGTGAGGAAGGAAGGTGACGACGATGAAGTGGGCTTATTTCCGAATTATTTCAGGAACCCTAATAGGAGGAGCTCTCGGTTATTACCTCAAGTACAAGATTGAAGTCCACTATAAGGTCTCCACCCCTCTCTCTAACAATCTCTCTCTAACAATCTATCTCTCTGGCAATCTCTCTCTCTCTGCGTTCGTGTAACTATCTATTCCCCAATTCGCTGATTGTTTTGTAAGTCATGAATTCAGTTGCTTCGCTCTCTCGTTCATTCTTCTCTCTTATGTAATTCATGAATTCAGTTCTCTCTTATGTGATTCATGAATTTAGTCGTTTTACTCTCTCTCTTGTGATTGTTATGGGTTCATGATTTAATTATTCCATATGTTTTATACCTTTTATGTGATTCCATTGATAAAAACTCATAATTGCCTTCTATTAGTCATGTTTGCAGCCATGATTAATTTGGGTTTTCTTCGTTTTGGATTCTGTAATACTAATGGGCTTGCTGTTTAGTGACTTTTTACCTTCTTTTCTCGGTTAGTTTCAGTCACTTATTTTAGGGGAATTGATTAACTGTTAAAGTTATTGTTTTTAAGGTTTTGGCGATTGTTGATGCGTTTATTCCATGATTGAATTGTTTTGCAGGAGAAGATGAGAGAGAGGTTGCTTAGTTACAATAGGGAGATGAAGAAAGGAGAGACCATGGACGACACATCTGAACTTCTTTCGGACTCTTGATTAGTTATATGAGCTTGGGTGCACTCAAATTTTGGTATTCTAGGGCTTTTAGAGTAGTGGGTCTTGAGATTTTTGTGCAGGTGGTGAATTCGCACCAGTAAAATAAAATACAGAAATAGAAAACAATCATGCTAGTGGGGATTGATTTTTTCATCCTTGAATGATGCTGCTACAGTTTTGTGATCCAGCAAAACTGAAAACTAAGAAAGTATTTATCTCATCCAAACTTTCACTTATTCACATTTAGTAAAAGTAATGTCTTATATTTTTCTTTCTACTGGTGGCTGTTTTCTTACATTAAATTTGTTTGATCATGATTTTTTTTTCCATCCATCTTTTAGATAAATTATGAGGGACCTGTTTTGTGGTGTGATTAAATTTAGACAAAATTGTTGGGACTCAATCTAGTTTTAATAATCTGATGAGATTCATTCCGACGTCTATAATCCTAGCTGTGGAGCTTGTATGGTTATGCACGCTTGTCAATTATGTGTTATCATTGATGAGTTTTAAAATCCTAACTGTGGGACATATATGGTTGCTTAGTCTTGTAAATAATGTGTTCTCGTTCGTGATTAACTGTGGAGCTCATTTGGCAGTGCAGACTTGTGAAGTATGCCTTATTTTGTAAAAAAAAGAACAAAAAATTTACCTTTTAAAAAAAATGGCCATCAATAATTCTTATTTACTTGAGGGAATGAGCCATGCATATTTCATGAACATGAGGTGCTTCCAGTCTTTCCTGTGTAAAAAATTGAAGTCAATAATCTGCAATGGGAATAATTATTCTGGGTTGACACTTTATGTTTGCAATTGGGGTGTAATATTCTGAAAGCAACATGGATAATTTACCTCGTACAAACAAAAGAGGAAAGATCCTAATTTAAAACCTTAAAACAATGCAATGGGTAAGAGGATGATTCAAAATAACATTAATTAAGTTCATGAAGAAAGTGTTCCTCTGTCATAAAGTGTATTGGAGAAGATCATGACACGGAAACTTCCAATTGGAATATTATGAAATGATTATTGGATACCGTGAAATCAACTATTCACAGTTTATCTTTGTTGTCATCCCACTGATTATTAACTTGGATAGCATTCGTTTTCTGATATAATAAGTTTCCAGATGTTGAGGTTTTTAGATGCAATCCCTATAAGACATTGCGCCTTCTAGGCTTCAGCCATGAATGGTCTCCCTAAACTAGCCTAGCAGCAGTTAGTAACACGGTGGAGTTTATCAATTTGCTTGTACAATAAGCTCTCTTCTGTAAATGGTTGCTTTCAGACTTCCATCATATGTCGATGGAAGCGCTTTTGAATGATCGTTCAATTTTGCCTCATTACATGTAGTGCTTCGAAGGCGTCTTACTTTACAACCAGTATCCTGCAATTGAAGTCCATAATTGAAAAGAAAAGGGAAAACTAAACTCATAAATTTTCTTATCCATAGACATTGTTCGCATAAGATCAATACAAGCAGTACATGCATTGCAAAACAATCAGCTATATTTCTTTTTCTTTTTTTGGTTATAATTTGACAATCCAATAGGTTATTTTTGAGGAAACCTACCATGCACATGATCCTGGTACGCTAGCTCAGCTGAAAGAGCTAAGTTCTAGGAGAAGGGCAATTGAGGAGTCTATAAATGGGAGCAGCTTCATCACTGAAGCAATAGCAAGAGAAATGTATGGAGGAATAACTTCTCGATGTCAACAGGTTGTCTTTTTGTTGCTTTTATCTTTTTTATATAGGTTTTAGAAAACCATACGATAATCTATTGGAGCATGGTGTGCGGTATTCCAAAGGGACATCCGCCATTCACTTTTGGTGGAAGATGTTGGAGATGGATTGTGCCCAAGTGAATGAACTTGCAGGCATGTGTAGGTTGATTTCTACTGTCCATTATTAGGAATGGATGGTGGACACCCTTTAGAGTACCATATACTGTGCACCATTTGATTATTTTGTACCTAACATTTTTTATCATTCAAAATTTTTTGTGCTTTGTATTAGACGAGGCGCATGGACTCTTATTTCTGATGTGTCTTCCTCAGGATTTATACAAGCTAGACCACTATATTCCTTTATTGGAGAACTTAGTGTTGCAAGTTGAGTTAGTTGGACACAAAGATCAAATTACTCAATGGACATCAGGACTCAAACTGCGATGGTCTAGTGTATTGAGTTCATCCTCTATCTTCAATCTAGGAGGTCCAAAATTCTTTCAAATCGATAGTTTGCGATTTGAACTTGGCATGGCCCTTTTCCTTTATGGTGCCTTATTACGAGAAAGAGCTTTGGAACTATTATCATCAGGTACTAAACTAAAATTGGATTTGCATAGTGTGCATACGAAATACTTCAGAGTGTATATACTATCATAAGATTCTGATTTTGTTTTGCATATTTGTGAGCTGGATTTTGCAGATCTAGTTCAAGCGGCAACTCTTTATAGGAGGGCAGCAGGGGTTTATCAGTATTTGGCTGAAGAGGTGCTGCCTCCTCTACAACCCATGCTTCCACAAGAAAGGCCCCCAGAGATTACGTCTTCTATGACTTCCATTATGAGCCTGATATGCATGGCTGAGGCACAGGTTGGTTCTTTCTGGTTATCTTTTTCCATAGGATATATTATATATGCAATTTTTTGTATTCGTTTATTTAAATAGTCACGCTGTGCATCTTTTGACCCTAATTATTTGTAGCATTTTCATTAGCAAACTAATAATTAATTCTGTTGCAGTTTGTCTGTTTTCAGTTGTTTTGAAGCAAACTAACTTCTATTCTGTTGCAGTTTGTTTACCCGTTTTCAATTTTTCATGCAAGACTTATGTCTGGTTCTTGACAAGTAGGAATGTCTTTTTCAATTATTGTTGGAAATAGTCATGCATGAAATAATTAAATAAAAAGGGACGATTGAACCCCTCCTTAGGACGATTGACCCCCTCCTTACCTTTTCCATTGTCTAAATTATAGGATTTACTCTTCTTGTTTCTTAATCACCCTGTTATCTATATCCTGGACAAGCTCTCCTTCACTTTCTCTTTCTTCCTCGCACATCAACTTCTTCCTCCCTCTCTCTGTAGCAACCTTCCCTGGATGCTTCTCTCTCTCTCACATTTCGTGAACCTCACAAGTTAGAAGAGCCATCACAAACTTGATTTTTATGATGAGGTTATTAGAGAAAAGAAGAAGGATAAATTCTGTAATTTGGACAATAAAAAGGGAAGGAGAGAGTTAAACACGCTTTTTAATTTAACTTAGGGAGTTCCATGACCACGGGGTTATTTGGGATAATAATTTTAGAGACAGGGGTTACCATAATTGGCGATTAGATGAGCTATTGGGTTTGTAGTTTGCACAAGACCGAAGGGATCAATGTCGTTCAATCACAGAACTGGGAGTTACATTGCCCTTGTTGGGTTTGGTAGATTTCCGCTGCACTACTTCTAGGCAGCCATCTGGGTGCATTTTAGTTCATTGGATTCACAGGTTAAGGCTCTGTTTGGATGGACCAAATTTTTGGGAATGGGACCGTTTTTTGGCCTTCTCCCATTTAGGGGTGAAAGGCGGCCAGGCTTGGTCCGCTCCACTGTCACAGGCACCTCCCTATTGTAAATCTAGTTATTAACTAAATGCTGTGAGAGCGTCCAAAACTCTGCGACAAAAATTACATGTTTTCCCCTTTCATAAACAACTCTCTTCCTTTATGGAGATGCTTAGCCATCCACATGGGGCCTAAAAGTGTGATCATATTGGGATTCAGCAGTTTGATATTCTCATTAGGAACCATGCTGTGGCTAGTTACTACTAGCACATGCATTATGCTATAGTGCTCTGTGTGTCGTGAAATACTACTCATTGAGTCAATTTTGAGCTCAACCAAGTCCACTTGGCTCGCTCGATAGGCCTCTTCAAACCATCATATGAACCTATTTCCTTAGTGTCTCAGCCTTTGTCAAGTTTGAGCTAGGTATCTGGATTGTTTGACATTTTATTGAGTTTTTTAGCAAATTTGAATTTTGATCAAGTTTTGACCGAGTATAACTGAGTTATGAATTATCTACCTTAAGTTCACTGTTGTTCCACAAAACTTTGCAGGGTTATATGCAGCCATAGCTGTTAATGAGTGATATTTAAGTCAATCATCCACTAATCTGTTCATTGGTTTGCTTTCAATGTATATTTGGTTCTCCATATGGTCGGTACCTACTACAAGTTGCTACTTCTCCTTTAACCAAAAAATAAAAATAAGAAATTTAAAATTTAAAATCTTGGCATATGCAAGGAGATCTGGTAGGATGATACGTTAGCGTCTCTTGGCGGTCCCTCTATGAGATCCAAGTGAGGATTTTAGGAGGTATGTGTATAGAACATGGGAAAAGTGATGGATAAATGGTGTAGACAATCTCCTTGCAGAATAGTTATCCTAGGAGTTATGGAATATGTCCTTGCAGAATGGTTCTTGAAGAATTCAAAATACGACTAAACATAAGGACTAAAGGTAGGGAATTGTAGGATTCGAGCTTGGACTTGATTGGTTACAGTGTTGACATTGCGACATTACGTCCCAAGTTTGAATGCCATTGCTGAACCACCCAGGAAAAATAAGAGGTGCAAATTGAAACTGGAGAAATGGATGCTAGGGCTTTCTGGGCATCTCTGAGTTGGAGGAACAGCAAAAAGATGGATAGGGAAACATTAAGGATGCTGTGTAGGCTGGGAGTTTGGATTCTCTTGGTGGTTTCTCCATTAGCAATTTGCAAGCATGGATTCCTTGGCATGGTTTAGCATGAAATATGCAAAGGAAAAGTAAATTAGGATAGGACAGTGTAGGGGTTTGGATTCTTCTATTGTTTCTGTCCATTAGCTTTATCTATGAAGAATTTGATGGCTATGAGGGTTGCTTGTTTGGCCTCCAAAATTTGTCACTAAAATATTATGGAAGCATTTTATTGGTCAGCTTATGAGGATTCTATAAATGACAAGCTTCAACATTGAGGATCATGGGTATATGCTTTCTCCCAAGGGGTTGCAGTGTTAGGGGACAATATCTTTAAATGTTGCAATTTTCTTTTGTGATTGTTGGGAAAGTCACCACAACATCATCCATAAGCCTTCACTTTTTTTTAAAAAAAAAAAGAAGGAAGAATTAGGTTTGGATATAATTTATCGCCATTCTAGTCTTTCCTCTTTTTTTTCTCGGCGTGATTTATTACCATGAAGGCGGTACAAGAAATGAAGGCACAGGCTTGGAGTGGTTTGCCTAAAGGGCCTTCATTTATGTAAAAGAGTGTGTTACTTCTCCAAACTGGTTTACATTATTGGTTTCGGACTGTTGGTAGTTGTCCACAGCACTCACCGCACCCCCCTTTGACTGATTCTCTCATCTATTTTCTTTCTGCCTCACGTGTTGCACGTACATCAACAGAAAAACCCCTTTCAGATAAAAAAAAAAAAGAAAAATCCCAGAGGGAGGTCTGCAGAAGCAAAAAATAAAGACAATAACATAATTCTAACTATAAGAATTTGGGAGAGAGAGTCAAAGCTTGTTTTGTGACTTCTTGGACAAATTGATAAGGGAGAGAGATGATTTAAGAGAGGAGAGAAGAACTCATCATCTTTTATATGTTTTCTTTTTTAGTTTTTTTGAATTAATTCATTACCAAACAAATAAGCCATTTTACCACCATACTTCACTGAGTTCAGGAAAATAGGTAAAGAAGGGAGCCAAAGGATTGAACCCGAGGGCTAACAAAGAGAGGGAGAGGGGTAGAAGGGAGGTAGAAGGGGCCTAAAAGAAGCCTAGGAAGAGGCTGAAAGAGAGAATTAAGAGAGAAGATATCAGAGAGAAGAGAGAGAGAGGAGAGGAGCTAGAGAGATCGAGGAGAGAAACCCAAACCCCAAGAGATAGATTTGCATAAGCAAATAGAGAAGAATGTAAAAGAGAAAAGTGCAAATTAAAAGAATTTGGGAGAGAGAGTCAAAGCCATTTCATGACTTCTTGGACGAATTAAAAGATGGAGGGACAATTTATGTGAAGAGATGTACTGGGAGAGGAGATGAATTCTTTTTTTTTTTTTATAAAAAAGGTCATCCATAAGCTTATGTGCCTGATACGTGATTTATTGCGGATTTCGTTTGCTTGGATGGAATGACAGAGTGTTTTCCATTTCATAATGCCTACAATCCTGTAGAGACAATTAAAGGAGATGAACCTCTTCTTAGTGAATTGGTCATTCCAAAGGTCATGTCTATATGTGGTTTATGGCTTTGGCGGCTAGTTCTAGGTTTAGAGTAGAATCCTCAACATGATTCCTTGGGTTACATGAAATATGCTGGGGTCAAAAAATGCTCTGGCAGTTGTGGTCTGGAAATAGTGAAATTGGTCAAAACAAACTGTGGTTGCTACTTCTGAAAGAAAGTTACTTAAATATGTTATGTAATATTTAGAATGCAGTGGCATCTAATGTTTCATCATTTTCCTATTGGTGGTACATGATGCTTCATTATTATTTGTGAGAAATTGCTCCAAGCTTTACATTATGAGAACTTGTGCTTTTATTATTAACTCTTCGAAAGTTGTTTTCGCCCTCCTAGTTTAATTGCATGCTGATCTGGTCTTATCTTTGAGCCATAGGCTGTGATTGTAAGAAAAGCTGAAGAAAAGGAGAGTAGTGGAAGCCTTCTAGCAAAACTGCACTATGGCATCACACAGTTGCTTGATGAAGCCACATTGATCTTAAATTCAAAGGCAGATGACTGGAACGGTGTTTCTGATAAGCTTTTGGTGAGTGTGGATATCTAAAATAAATTTAGATTCAAAAAGATTTTGGTGAGTATTCTTTTTATCTGTAAGAACAGGCGGTGACAGAGAGATGTATTTCAAAAAAAATAATGATATAGTTGAGTAGTACATTTTTACCCTTGACCGAGAGCCTTTCCAGTTATGTATTTCTGTGCAGTCAGCCATCAGTACAGTTAATTAGTAGTGTGAGTATTTCCATAACTTCTGCAAAAAGGCCCAGCATGAGGTCCTATTTCCTGGAAAAATGGAAACTTCTAGACCATCGATCACAGTGACTGTTTGAAATTTTTACTTGTGGGTGTGCTTCCCATTATCTCAATTTATTATGCACCTAAGAAACTGCTAAAAATTTAGAAACTGCTTCTAAGAGTTAGAAACATGTGCAAAGAACATAAAGGAGTTCAGTAAAATTTACCGAACAAAAATCTGAAAAACCTTAATAAAAAAAGGAACTGATTCGTCATTGTTCGATGCTAATTTTAACAAATGAGCAAAGAACATAAAGGAGTTCAGTAAAGTTTACCCAAAAAACTGGAAAAACCTTAAAAAAAAAGATCTGATTGGTCATTGTTCGATGCGAATTTGAACAATGATTCCTTTCTTCTCGTGCAGGCATTCATTTCATCTTGCCGCATGCTTCATGAAGCAAGAAGCCAGAGGCATATTGCTGCCGATTTCAGGGGGGCTGATCAATTAGGATTTGCTGTTGGTGTTTTGCAGTCTGCCATGGCCAACTTGCAGGGGAAATCCCCTGGTAAAGGGTTGTGGGACTTGGTCTACCGGCAAGAGGTCGATGCTCTCAGTGAGATGCTTAGGAAATATGAGTATGAGAGAGGTTTCATATGGCACCAAAAGCTTCCTTGTGTCGAGGAGCTGCCAATTTTGGAGGGTAAGAGAATAGCGAGCGCTCTGCCTTATTCCCCCTCAAAACTAGAGAGAGAACTTGTTTTCATGCTTTAATGTTATATGGATGATTGAGAGAAATGATTGGTAAGATTGACTTATTGATAGCAAAGCGACTGGGAGAATTATGTTGTTCAGTGTTTGCCATTGATCAGAGTTTATTTTTGAATCTTTGCCTCCTATGCATCCATCTAGCTTGCGTGTATTCAGTGAGATTTTCTCAGTTTTAAGTGAAAATTGTAATGTTTGTTTCCCTTGCGTGAAGATGCGTAGATCTGTGTTCCCCATTTTCTTTGTTCTAAAGTTAGCTTTCTCCTTAGGAATAAGGCTTGGGTCAAGACAGTAGAGGCTTGGTTTTCACAGCCCAATGTCTCAAGTTCCATTCCCATGTAAGCTTGTCATCAAAAAAAGAAAAGAAGAAAAGTTAAGCTCTCCTTTGATCTCTAGACTGACATCTCTTTCTTTGTATACGTTGATGCTGTTTGATTTCAAAATTTTGTTCAGATGGTGTTCCTTTCCAATTTGTAGTAGACCAGATAACAATTGGGTCAGTTATCATTGGCTCTCTTAAGGGCCACTGATGGTGCAGTGGTAGTGGTCATATAGTGGGTGGTGGTGGTCGTGATAGTGTTGCAGTACAATTGTTGCGGTTTTGTTGAAACAGGTGGAGTGTTGGTGATCGAGATGGTGTTGCAGTACAATTGTTGTGGTTTTGTTGAAAAAGGTGGAGTGTACTGGTTTTGTTGAAACAGGTGGAGTGGTGGTGGTCGTGATGGTGTTGCAGTACAATTGTTGTGGTTGAAACAGGTGGGAGTGGTGGTGGTACTGGTGGTAGTAGCAGTGCAGAAGTGGCTGTGGCACTAGTGTGATGGTGGTGGCTTGGCGGTTGGGGTGGGGGTGCCGTGGAGGTGGTGGTGGTGGTGAGTGTGTATTAGTTTGAATTTTCACAAAACATCTTAAAAAGTGTTTTTGAAAGAATTAAAGTTTGAGATTCCAATTGTATTGGGAATTGATTCAAGATTTGTCAATCAAACACCCCTCCCGGCCAAATTACATCTGAAAATGTCTTTAAATTGGCTTATGGTATCCTATATCCCATCCTTTTATCTTTTACTTCTTTATTTGATTTCTAGTGATTTTGATGGGGGTTGTTATCAAAAGGGTCACAATTACTACAACCATCCAATCTAAAATTTGATAGCTTGAATGTCAAAAAGTTTGAAAATATTTCTTTTGAATTTGAGCTGACAGCTTGAATGTCAAAAAGTTTGAAAATATTTCTTTTGAAGTTTGAGCTTTGATAGCTTGGGTGTCAAAAAGTTCGAGAAATTTTTTTTTTAAGTTTAAGCTTGATTAATGGAATAAATATGACCATCTAATTTTACATCCAATGATCAATATTAATATTAATTGTGACTAACTTGTATCGAAGATAAATGGTTATACTTTTCTTTTTGATTGGGCGAATGACAAAGATACCCACAACTGAACAGTGTGGTACATATAGCATGTGAAACAATCCAGTAATGCCTTCACATGCAAATCTTGCCAATGGGGCAATATCATCTATCATTTAATTTGATATTCCCCCAAGAAACAGATTATACTTATCTGAAAGGATTAAGCAATGCAAAATGGTCGCTGTCTAGCTAAGTGCAAGAGCTGGCAACTAGCTTGTATAGGCAATCTCCATGAAGTCCTTCAGTGGGCGTATATTCAATGGACACATTGCATTCACAAAATAAAATTTTTCCATTTCTAAACATTATACATTTTACACAGCATATAATGAATATATCGAACAATTTACAGAACTGATCGAGATAAAGAGCTTCACTTTCTACATCGATATTTATATGCAAGGAAACAACCGTTATCATCCAAACATAACCTCTATTGATCTCAGAATCCTGGAATTTCAAGTGGTACACCAGGTGTGGGCTCTAGCACTTGAGCACCAGGTAGCTCCTTTGACAGAAGTTCCTAGTTCAACATTGATAGAAATCCATGAGGTTCCATGTAATGGATGAGGTCCAACACGCACTACCACTAATATATGAGAGAGAGAGAGAGAGAGAGAGAGAGAGAGAGACGTACGACGGTACGACTAGAATACTAAATTAAGTTAAGTAAACGTAAAACGTAAAAAACCGTAAAACCGTACTTATTAGTACGAACTAAGTAACGA